TGAACCCAATTCCTCTGACTCCAAATTTAGTGCTCTTTCCTCCACATTATGCTGTCTTGATTCCATTCAGGGAGATAAGGTGTGGAATCATAGGCTCATCCTGTATATTTAAAGCTAGAAAGGACCTTAGAGACCAATCTAGTTCATTTTTCAGGTGAGGGAATTAAGGCCTACAGAAGCAGTGACTTGCCTAAGGTCATACAACTAGTAAAATACATTTTAAAGGTAGAACACTTCCAAATGTTATAAAAATCACGTGCTGGATTGTGGGGATACTAGAATCTCTAAGTGTCATAGTCTTGCTGTTCAGTAGTTTTTCAGTCACGTCCAACTCTTCATGACCCCATTTGGGATTTTCTTGTCAAAGACACTGGAGTGGTTTGCCATTTCCCTTTCCCGTTCGTTTTGCAGTGGCGGAAACTGAGGTAAACAGGGTTAAATGACTTTCCCAGGATCACACAGCAAGGAAGTGTCTGAAGCCAGATATGAACTTAGGTTTTCCTCAGTTCAGGCAGAGCACTCTATCTACTGTGCCACCTATCTGCTCTATAATCTTATCAACTCAGGATTTCTCTTTCTCAAGATAAGCTTTTCTGTGTTCTGCCTTAGCCACAAAAAAAGTACCTCCTTCCTGTCTGGGAACCTTCTTCACACCATGCCCAGTCACATTCTTGTCTGGATTCCAGTCTCTCTTTGCTGAGTCAGTCCACAATAATGTAACTGCTTTGTACTGGCCACATGTATTACTGAAACATGGTTTGCTTGTACTAACTCCCTTGCCTATATGGTCTAAACCAGTCTATTGTGGCCAGCTCAGTTTGATTCAGCTCAACAAGTATTTATTATGTGGTCCTTGAATCAGTTTATGTGGTCAGCATTTTTTTTTTTGAGAAAAGAATAACTAGCAAAACTAAATCTCTGTGCACAGATTAACAGGTACTCTTCTCCACTCAGCCCATTTAAAGTCATTAAAAGAAGAAAAATGCTACAAAGTACTTTGATTCCCTTCAAATTACCTTGCAATTATTGCAGAAATGCACTGTTCTTTCCATGAGTACTATTTCTGAAAAAAACACCATCCTCTGCAAATCATGGCTTTTTATGTGGCATTTATATTTTCAACTGCTTCAAGTGCTTTGAAAATAATTTTTAACCTCACACAGTACCACAGTAACCACATCTTCACCATTGTAGTAGCATTGCAATAATGTTTTAAAAATTGGTTCATGCCACTGAACAAATTTCATCGTTCCTTATGAGTGGTATGTGGGCTTACTGCTTCTGGGAAAAAAAATGTTTTGTTTTCCTCATCAATGTGAAAATTGGGAATGCATACAAGATAGAGCTCTTAATTCACTCATATACATTGTAATGCTTGTTTGTACAATTGTAGCAAAGAGGAAATTCAAATGGCATTTGCAAAACTTTGCCTTCATTATTGGCTTAAATATGACTCACTAGACAGCAGAATCATTATGTATGTCCTGCAGTGCTTTTAGCTCACACTATGCTGCAAATTAATAAAATGTCATGATTCTTTAACTGAGATTGGTCTACCATCCATAGCGTCAGGACCATGATTCCTGAAGACTCCCAGATCAGGATGCAGAGGCCAAGAAAGAAGTTATGACAGAGGAAAGGAGCAGGGCACAAGGAGGAGAAATGTTAGTTGAGGATTTTTTTTTAAGTTTATAAGTTTTCAGAAGATGTGGGTGTCAAGAAGAAACTCCCAAGCCCTTAATGCCAACTCTAGTAAAGTCTTCTGGATGTTTTTGTTCATAACCTCGAGAGAATACAATTTCCTATTTGAAACAAGTGCTGCTACTCTGTCCTTCAGGATTGGGTGACTTTCTCCATGCTGAGACACACTGAGCTGCCTTTGAGCTAAAATGCACCCATAAACATTGAACCAATTTTTAATTATTCCTTCAAGATTCCACTTACCCCTCTCCCTGCTTAGAAGATTCTGAGGTTTCAATCATGGTGTTTGACCTGAAATGCTCGATTTGATTAGTGGTCTCTCCCTTCTACCTCTTTAATTATAGATTTCTAGTAATTTTCACAAAACTTTCAGAAGAAAAAGCATTTTTGGGCTAGTAAAAATGTGCCATTATCTGTTCCCCATCCATTGAACAATTGTTGGAAAACATGGTATGAACAACAGAGTGGCAAAATATCAAGTCCTTATTCTTTTTTATTTCTTTGTAGTCTATACAATTCGAGTTTCTATAGTTCATGCTTCAATGCTTCATCTCTCCAGGATATTGATCATCCTTACTAATTTGTTTTTCCTAGCTTGGCCTCTCCCAGGCCTCCTCTTTTTTGACATCAGTTGGACTCTTCTTCCACCTGCCAGGGTTTTCCAACCACATTCCCAAGTCCCCACTGAGACCCAGGCACCAACATTCCATTGCCTTTCACACACAGAGGCTAACTAGATGCTTGGGAGGGGGTCGGGACAAGGGGTGTAAAAAAAAAAACAAACATCTTCCTTTAAGTCACTTTGAAGATTAACAGATGTGTCTGAGGGTTTCTATGCCTTTCCTAGCCAGATAGCATAGATCCACCTGAACTTCCCTGCATGTAGGGACAGGAACCAGATTTGGGATTTCACTAAAGTGCAGGGAGCAACTTGCTGGAGTCACAGACTGGTAAGAGCTGGCTTTGAGGGCCCACCCTCCACCAAGATTAAGTGAAGCTGTGCCCAGACTACACATGGGTGAGTGGCAGGAGCAAGCTGGGTTTGCAACCCTACCCTGACAATCAGCATCTCTAGCTCAACATTCATAGGTTGTGGGAGGTCAGTAGTAAAAGCATTTATATACAGAACCCATTTTCCAGATGCAGAAACTGAAGCCTAGAGTAGAACACTGACTTTTCTAAGGTCTCACAGAGCCAGAATTTCATGTTGGGCCTTCTGAAGCCCACGTCCAGTGGTTTCCAGCTACCCACACTTGCCTTCCTGAGCCCACAAGAATCCTTCTGACTCGCCATTATGAGCCATCCAAACAACTTGTACAATTGGAGCCATTTCCCTGTGTATGGGACGTAACTTACCCAAGGTTACAAAGCCTGTCACAGAAACAAAAATCAGCCAAAAGCATGACCTTGAGCAACCTCTTTCCTCTCTTCTGGTCCTGCTTTCTCACAGGCAACAAGAAGGCTGCATGAAATAGCCTCAAAGGTCCCTTTCAACTCAAGCACCTCTATGGCCAATGAGTCCAACTCCGTTCCTTTACAGATGAGGAAACTGAAACTCAGGAGTTGAAGGGTTAAGTATCAGGTTTAGGATTTGGACCCAAGGCCAGTGATCTGACTAGGACTCCACACTGCCTCCTCCTATAGGATAGTGGAGAGAAATCCCTGCTCTGGTGTGGTTCTACAAACACCTCTACCCAAACCAGGGTAGACCAATGGAAAAGGCATGGGTTTGGAGACCAGCTGATTTGGATGGGAATTGCAGCCCTCCCTCTAAATCCCTTCACCTTGATCCAAACCCTTCTGCCCTCTCTGGGCCTCAGTTTCCCTACCTGTAAAATGTGGGAGCTAGAGCAGATGATCTCCAAAGTCCCAGCAGCTCTGAAGTCCTGCTCACGTGCAGAGATGGCCATGGACAGACCTAACCAGCCCTTCCTAGAACCCTGCCACTAGCTGGTAAGAGAGGGGTTAAGGGCTGCAAAGGGGGTGTTCTTGTCTTTGGGTGGAGGTGCATTGTAGGCCCAGCCAGGGTGGGTCCAAGGATGTGTCTATAGGCCTTGGGGCACTGTGGGCCTAAGAAAAAAGAGCTGCATGAGCTACTTCTGCATATACACTCTTCTGTCACTGGTAGAGATACCCCAGATTTGTTGGGAGGAGAGGAGAACAGAGAGAAGACCCCTCCTCCTCCTCCTCCCCCCCTCCCACCCCAGGCTAGCTGGGTTGCAGCATCATGGGCCCCATAAGCCCACCCACAGCAGGGAGGGGGTTCTCCTTCAGACATTCTAGTTGGGCCAGAAAGGAGTCAGAGAAGGATGGTAGCAGTGCCCCCTCCCCGGGTGTCTTGGGGCAGAAGCCAGCAGTGCCCTGGGCAGAGTCCAGAGTCAGCATGGTGGCAGGGCCTGCACTCCCCCGAGGGACGGCCACCCAGCAGCAGCAGGCGGCGGCAGCGGCCGGCCTCGTAATTCCCCTCATCCAAGCTGAGCAGCAGGAGAATCGTCTCCTGGCCCACAGCCTCTCGAAGAGCCTGTCAGGAAGACACCGCGCAGGCCTGGAGCAGGGCCCTGCTCAGGTAGTCCCTTCAAAAAGCACCCAGGTAAGACAGCTCAGAGAATTTGATGTCACACACCACGGAACCCAGGTTCCTGGACATCAGCATGGCCGTGGCCTGCTCGCAGTCCACCACACCCTGAGCCAGGCCCCCCCCCCCGTGCTTGCTGTACTGGGCCAGTACGGGGAGGCAGATGTCGCAAGTCACTTTGCAGCGGGAGATGATAACGAGATTTTTCGACCACCAAGCTCCCTGGGGTCCCCACCGCTGCCTCCCTCCGGCACTGGAGTGGCCCAGACTTCTCCTCTACCTCTTCCCAGGAGGTGAACCTGCCTCCCACTGGGCCCGTTGGGAAGTTTAGCTGGCTGAGGTCTGACAGCCTCTACACGTCTGATCCAGAAGGACCGCAGACATAGCATTCAGGGGACACTGGGCGGGCCCACTTGAGCGAGGGCCTGCGCAGCAGATGCGCCAGCACCCGCAGCAGCTACATCAGGGGCCCCAGGTGGGCCTCCTCACAATGGCCCCTACTCTCTAGCTCCAGCAGAAACTCCAGCCCAGAGCGGGCTGGAGGCTGGCCTGGGCCCCCCAGTGGGGCCAGGCTGGGGTCTCCATCTTTGGATGCTGGCAGGGCCTCGTCCAGCAGGAAGGAGAGCATGAACAGCCCCTGCTCTGTCAGCTGGGAGCCCACCACCTGGAACATGTGGTGCAGGGACTGCAGCCCATAAGAGTCTACTCATGAGTCTTCCTCCCAGCAGGGGCTGCACGGCCCCCAGGGCCCCACACATTGGGGCAGGTAGGAGGGTGGTCTAGGGGAGACTCGAGGAGAGGAGATGCTGTCGAGGCTCCGGATGTGGGGTTTGTCCATCCTTATTAATTTTAATAATTTAATTTAATTTCCCAAAAGGAAGGATTCACCCAATATGCTGATGGCTTTTTTCCAGGTCCCTTAATGTAATGTGGGTACCAATGGAACACATGGTCTGCCTATCTATTATTCTTCATTCTCACTTCATAACTGGCCCACCTCCTTTTCCAGTCATGTCATTCTTTATGATACCTTTTCTCTGTGAAATTCTCTGTATTCTCTGTGCAGTTTATCATTGGTAATGCACTACAGCCTGTTTATGCTTATCACATATCTTCTGATCACCACGGTACCCTTTCCCAAAGTACGACTTTTTCTAACACCACACCCTCCTCTTTCTTTGAGTTAGTGGATCAAGAAACCATCACTTGCACCATGCACATGTGCCGCTGTGTGTGAGGTCAGATGAAACCATCACCTGTCCTTCTATGAATGTGCCTAGGTGAATCACCTTTTGTACTCCCTTCCCCCTCATCAACTGCATTTGTTTCCAATGCAAAAATTCCTACACAAAAAAGATATGTAAAGCATTGTTTGTAAAAGCCTACCTGTTATCTTCTCATACCTTAATTAAGGATGGTTTCAATATATGTGTATTATCAAAACATGGGAAGTAGAACATGGATTAGCAAATATTGATATCTTCTTGACTGCTTTTTCTGAATTAGTGATATGTTTGTTTTACTGTTGTTGTTTCCTAATTGTTTGGTATTTTCCTCTAACCCCATCCAAATCAGAGGGCCTGGCACTCAACAACCCAAAAAGCTCAGCCCAAGCTGACAGGCAGATCATCAGAGCCTCTTGCTATGCTTTATCAGCAGCTTCGCGTAACTTGGTTTCAGAGAGGGACCCTGAAAATTTGGCCATGCTGCTGCTTGGAAATTTTAGCCTGAATTTTCATGGCAAATGGATTCCAAAGAGCTTTGTCTAAATTACCTAATTTCAGCCACAGAAGAACACTGTGCAACAGACAGAGTACAAGTAATAAGTGTCAGAGGCACTTATTTATTTATTTATTTAGGTTACATTTTAAGTTCTGAATTGTCTCCCTCCCTCCCCACCCCACATTAGAGAAGATTTGACACAGATTTATAAATATATATAGAATCATAGTATGCATACTTCTATTTATCAGTTCTTTCTCTGGAAGTGGATAGCATTTGTGCTAAGTTTCAACATTTTCATCTAATCTTGGTAAATGATATAAAGTATTGATCTATACCCAGTTTCTGCCAGACTGCTTTCCAGTGTTCCCAACAATTTTTACCAAATAGTGTATTCTTATTGCAAAAGCTTAAATCTTTACTTTTTGTCAAACTCAGGGTTACATTTACTATTGTCTATTGCATGTCCACTCTGTTCCATTCATCCACCTTTGTATTTCTTAGCCAACACCAGACAGTTTTGATAATTACTGTCTTATAACATAGTTTGAGATATAGTACTGCTAAACTTCCTTCTTTCCATTTTTTCATTAATTCTTTTGATATTCTTGACCTTTTCTTTTTCCAAATGAATTTTATTATTATTTTTTCTAGCTCAGTAAAATAGTTTTTGGTAGTTTAATTGGGATGGCATTGATTAGTTTAGTCAGAATTGTCATTTTTGTTATATTGGCTCTGCCCACCCATAAACAATATTTCTTCAATTATTTAAATCTGACTTTATTTGCATAAAATGCATTTTATAATTATATTCATGTAGTTCCTGGGTTTGTCTTGGCATATATACTCCCAGGTGTTTTATATCTTACAATTCTTTTAAATGGGGTATCTCCACAGTGGGATTTAAATCCAGGTCTTCCTGACTATTGGTCCAGTGCCACAATCTCTCCATGGTTGAAGATTGCTGTGAAATTTGCCATAACCCTATCATAAGTTTCTGCACATTATTTGCTGGATATAGAGCAAAAGAAAAAAATCTATACTTGAGAACTCTGATTTGAATAAGGTTTTTGTTTAGGCAAGTTTAATAAATTAGATGGTAATAGTTAAACACAAAATAGTATTTGAGAAGTCGGAAGGCAAAATTCAGGTTTAACAGATGTGTTTATAATTTAGCAGCCATTGATGTATCAGGACATTCGTGAACAAATGTCTTTTCAACGTCCTTTAGTTAACACAGCCCACGGATGACAAAATTTTGTCTGTTCAAGTAGCATCTTAAACAAAGACACTGTTAGCTAACAGAAGCATCATGCTAAGTTTTGCTGCCATAGATTCTGATACTGTCCAGGCTCATTAAATTTATTCTAGAGTTACTGAAATTTTAAGTGCATGAAGGCAATACTTCACTTTTTTGTTAAAGATTATAATACAGCAATTTTTTTTTACATTTCTTTCTGAGATTGCTGTCACATACAAACACTTACTGTGACCCAAATCAGAGGTAAATGAAGTTGCAATAGTAACTGTTGTGTATAGTCTTCTTGGTGGAGCACTGGGTCTATGTTTTGTACAGGAAGTCCTCTAATACCAGTCCAGACTAACAACAGAACCAGAGACTCAGCAGCCTCTAGCCTTAAGGCCAAGTGGCCACCCATAGAGATGCTCAAAGTCAACCAGCCTTGGGAACTTCAGGCTGAAGAAATGGTTCTAACTCTCCTCATCACACTCTGTTGTCCTTCAGCTCATTTTCCTCTGGGTCTAGGATACAATAAAGACTCATATGTACTCTGAAAAGTTAAGAAATATCAGAATTTCTTTGTGTGTGTCTCTCTCTGACTCTCTCTCCCTCTGTGTGTGTGTGTGTGTGTGTGTGTGTGTGTGTGTGTATGAATATGTCTCTCTCAATCTCCTATCCTTTAAGGGTTTTAACTTTTTATCCAGTGATATCCCTGCCTTATAAAGGGATTCACAGCCTCATTGACAGTACAAGTAGAGCACCTTGCATGAAAATATGGGGTCTGTGGCTCTCTGAGCCTCTGTTCCAGTGCTTTCCAGTGTCTTTCTTGCTCCACTCAGCATCCAGCCTCGCTGATGCACCTTCTTGGCACAACCTCCATCTACTCCACATGTGTTCCACTTCTCTCATGCAGCTCTTCAAAGTAACTAGTCCATGCCTAGCCACACTCCCATGAGTCACCAGCCAATAGGCTCTTGTTTGGTACATATCATATATGTGCTTTCAGACTTCCTGTCTGGTCACTGCTGTGTGTGTATGGGGGAGGGGAGATGATTTTCCTGGACTTCTATTGATGCATGTTTATTAAATAATAATTACATTTTTAGATATCTATGCATACTTCTACATGGTGCAGTTTATAGAGCACTGGACCTGAAGTCAGGAAGACCTGAGTTCAAATCCAGTCTCAGACATTTACCAGCAGTATGACCCTGGGCAAGTCACTTAACCTCAGTTTGCCTCAATTTTCTCATCTGTAAAATGCAGATAATTAATAACACCTACCTCCCAGAGTTATTGTGAGGCTCAAATGAGATAAAAACTTCAGTAAGGCACTTAGCACAATGTATGGCACATAGAAATGATATATAAATGTTATTTTTTTATCTTGTCTCTCCTACTAACTTGTGAGCCCCTCAAGGGTAGAAATAATCTTTATTTATTCATTATTAAAAGCCTTCTGTATGCAGAGCTTATATATCCAATATTTAAACAAGTTATGGTCCTTGCTTACAGAGGTCCTTGCTTATAGTCCAAGAGCTTAGTTTAATAGGTAGGAAACATATGAGACATACAGAGTAACTTTAGAACCAAATGTAACTAATTAAAAGTAAAGCCAACAGACTTCTCAAAGGCAAAATTTTAACCTTGATTCTGGCGGTTATTAAACAAAACCTATTGTAAACTCTTTTCTATACTGTAAAGACAATTGATGAAGGTTTAGGATGGGGAAATGACAGCATGATGTAGTTGAGAGTTTGGTGGACTTAGAGTCTTGAAGAGTGGATTCTCTTGGACATGCAGTAACTGTGTGATCTTGAACAGATCACTAAGACCTCTGAGCCACAATTTACTCATGTTTAAAATGATGGCTTTGGAGTAGATAATATATAAGGTTTCTTCCACCTCTATGACTATGATCCTATGAATGAATGGTTCTAAACCATAAAGGAAAGAAATAAGAATGATACATTGTGGAATTCATGAAAAAAATATATTTTTTTAAAAAGCCAGTAGCTGGGAAAATTTAATTACAAATCTTAGATCTGAAAGATATCTCAAGCCACCATCTGGTCCAGGCTCCATGATTTAAGAAGATAGATTATTATACTTGTTTTACAAATGAGACAATTGAGGGCCAAAAACTTTAACTCACATAAATACTAAGTGGTAACATTAAGACACCATCTTCTGCTTCTAAGGGGATTGCATTTTCCTTTATAAAATACTGCTAAGGATGAATTGATTTTATGAAACATAATTTTTTTTATACTTGTTAATCAGTTAGGATTGATTTTTGTTTGTTTAAGGAGGAGCACTGTTATAAGAATAACTCAGATCTTCAGTCTTCCATTTTACTATTTACCATTCCAAGCATCCTTAAAAGTTTTCTCATAAGCTTTCTGTTTCTTGATGGCAATAAGTGCTTGCTTCCCACATTGTGTGTTAGTAAATCATTTTAGTTACCCCATTTTGTTGTTGTTGATTCATATCCAACTCTTCATGAACCTATTTGGGTTTTCTTGCCAAAGATACTGGAGTAGTTTGCCATTTCTTTCTCCAGCTGTGACTAGAGACATATTTTCTGGGTAATCTAATAATTTTATTAATAAAGAATGTTATTAATGAAAGGATGGTCATTTGGCCATCTGTCTTAGACCAAAGACAATCATGCCCAGAGGGGCTCACAGTTTATATACCCTTCAAAGAGTAGGCTGAGTGACACCACGTCACCCTTGAACAGAGAAACTGTCCCTGTATTCAGTCCACCCCCAGCCTTGGGCTAGCTAGACAAAAGGGTCTATGTCCACCCAACTCAAATAGAACACAATGGGCTTCCCCACCTTAGATTAAAATTCCTTGAAAG